TCGCTCTTAGGTTGGAGGCCGCTAGTAAGTTGGAGGCCATCGCCAGTGAGTTGGAGGCCATCGCTCTGAGGTTGGAGGCCCTCGCTCTCAGGTTGGAGGCCATCGCTCTTGGGTTGGAGGCCATCGCTAGTGGTTGGAGGCCATCGCTCCTAGGTTGGAGGCCATCGCTCTTAGGTTGGAGTCCATCGCTAGTAGGCTAGTAAGTTGGAGGCCATCGCTCTTAAGTTGGAGGCCATCGCTCTTAGGTTGGAAGCCGCTAGTAGGTTGGAGGCCATCGCTCTTAGGTTGGAGGCCGCTAGTAAGTTGGAGGCCATCGCTAGTAAGTTGGAGGCCATCGCTCTGAGGTTGGAGGCCCTCGCTCTCAGGTTGGAGGCCATCGCTCTTGGGTTGGAGGCCATCGCTAGTGGTTGGAGGCCATCGCTCCTAGGTTGGAGGCCATCGCTCTTAGGTTGGAGGCCGCTAGTAGGTTGGAGGCCATCGCTCTTAGGTTGGAGGCCATCGCTCTTAGGCCATCGCTAGTAAGTTGGGTGCCATGGCTAGTAGGTTGGAGGCCATCTCTAGTAGGTTGGAAGCCATCGCTCTTAGGTTGGAAGCGTTGGAGGTCATCGCTCTTAGGTTGGAAGCCATCACTCTTGGGTTGGAGGCCATCGCTCTTAGGTTGGAGGCCATCGCTCTTAGGTTGGAGGCCATCGCTCTTAGGTTGGAGGCCATCGCTAGTAGGTTGGAGGCCATCGCTCTTAGGGTGGAGGCCGTCGCTAGTAGGTTGGAGGCCATCGCTAGTAGGTTGGAGGCCATCACTAGTAGGTTGGAGGCCATCGCTAGTAGGTTGGAGGCCATCGCTCTTAGGTTGGAGGCCATCGCTAGTAAGTTGGAGGCCATCGCTCTTAGGTTGGAGGCCATCGCTAGTAAGTTGGAGGCCATCGCTCTTAGGTTGGAGGCCATCGCTAGTAAGTTGGATGCCATGGCTAGTAGGTTGGAGGCCATCGCTAGTACGTTGGAGGCCATCGCTCTTAGGTTGGATGCCATCGCTCTTAGGCCATCGCTAGTAGGTTGGAGGCCATGGCTAGTAGGTTGGAGGCCATCTCTAGTAGGTTGGAAGCCATCGCTCTTAGGTTGGAAGCCATCGCTCTTGGGTTGGAGGCCATCGCTCTTGGGTTGGAGGCCATCCCTCTTGGGTTGGAGGCCATCGCTCTTAGGTTGGAGGCCGTCGCTATTGGGGGCGACCTACGTAAGGATGCTTTTTTAACGCCTCGAACATCACCAGCTGAAGCGTGTTCCTGTTGGTTGAACATGGTTGAACAGACAGCAGACCCTGCAAAGCATGCCCAAAGCTAAACCATGATAGTTGAATCTCCCAAAGCAAATGGATGCCCAACACATGTTGCGGATGTTGCCAAACTCTCCAAAATGAAGTTAGAATCTCTTAGATACTCTTAGCCAGCTAAGCCTTGGTGGCAGACCATCCTGTTCCTTCCAGTTCATCGATCCAGATATCCTGACAGCCCAAATCTCTTCCCCCAAAAGAAACAACGAAAAAGCGCAAGTCTAATCTCTGTTCCAGAAAGGAAGATCCCAGTCCCACTAGTCTTTCCTCCCTGGCCTCCAGGTCTTTCGTCCCTTTCTCGTACTCGAAACGCATCTTCTGATGGCGATCCACATAGTGCACCTCAGACGAATCGACGCGTGCGACGATCCCACGGGGAGGGCGGTGACCGCCAACGGAGGTGGGGCAGTCCATAGAAATGCGATGATATGCGGTACAGACTTGGTCATAGGATGTCATATACACGTGGATGCGGTATCTATCTTCGAGAAACCCATGTTTGAGCCAAAAAAGGAGCTCATGTGACTCGTGAGAAACGCAACAAAAAGCGGTGGGCAAATGTTTGGGAGTGCTTTCAACAACAAAAATGTCCACCGGCTAGTCTAAGCTACTCCTCTTCCCCAGCCCCTTTTATGTGCCCTTTGGAACCCGCTACGTGTCCATGCGCCACTGCTCTTTTTGGCGGCATTGCGGGTCTCTTCGATCATGGCATCAGCCACAACCCAGGGAGGCTGAGGGTGGGCCCTGGAAAAAACCAGGACCATTCAGGTCCTCTTGAACCTCCAAAGGCCGGCGTGGCCACAACTGCTTCAAAAGCAACGCTTCACGAAGCTCCTACTTTGGAACCCGCTACGTGTCCATGCGCCACTGCTCTTTTTGGCGGCATTGCGGGTCTCTTCGATCATGGCATCAGCCACAACCCCCCACAACGCCAGCGCAGGACCAAAAACGTCCACTACGTATAGTGGATCCTCTTGTCGACCCTGGCCATCCGGCCCGACAACTCCTTCAGCACTTCGCCCCCATCATAGAGGTACCTTTGCACCGCGGAGCTGCTCCACCTTCCCATTCTCTTAACCAACTCGATCTCTCCTGAGGCCTGGAACAGGGCGCTTGCTCCTCCGATTCGAAGGCTGTGGCTCATGAAGCGATCTTCAGGCAGCCCTTCCGCTCTTGCTGCTTTCTGGAGTACTGCTTGTACTTCTGTTCGACGAAGGGTTGTCCCATTGCCCCACCGGAACAGAGGTAGGTGAGCTTCAGGTCCCGGGGAAAACCGTCTTTGGGCCACTTCACGTAGCTCTTCGAGAGCGTGCACTGGACATAGGTGAAGTTCACCTGTGGCCCCCATGTTTTTGCACGACCCGAAAGCCTCCTGATCAGCCTTTGTTTTGCGGAACTGAATGGTCACCTCATTCGCTCCTGTCTTCACATCACAGCCGTCCTTCGTGAGTCGGACGTCCATGCCTCGGAGGATCATGTGTGCATCAACACCTCCTGAGTCACAGTACTCCTTGGCTCGGAGCATGAAGAACCAAGCCACCAAAAGCGCAGCCTGCACCATTGCCTTGTCGACCTGGTCCTCTCCGAACAAGTCGCTGTTGCACAGGCTCCTGCCAATCCACAACAGCATGCCTGGTGTCACCCCCAGTCTCCTTGGCTTTCGTTCAGCATGTCGATCTAGTGACGTGACCAGCATCCACACCCTGAACATGCCTTCGGTCGGGTCGCCTGCTCCTCCACGCTTGTGACCGTCCTTCACCGCGAACAAAGCCTGCTTGATGGAGGCCGCCGTGGAACCAAGCCAGCCCAAGTAGCCGAGGAACGCCAAGAGCTTGTCCTCATTCGCAAGCTTGTCGCCCTTCACGTCGAGGTAGCACGAAGGCCATCTTTGGCGGGATGCCCAGGCCTCCCATTTTTCCCACGCCGACCGGTACATTCTCAGGGTACTCGTAGCCTTGCTACCTGCGATGTTCTCTTCAAGCCACTCCTCCACCTGTGTTTGGATTGCCCCATCAAAAGGCACCTTCCTTGGCTCCAGCAACACATGTTGCCCTGCAGGTAGATGGGCCGGCTTCGTCAACTTGGGTCGTCTCCCCCCCGCTGAGGTGTCCCTGAAGGTCTCCACGATCTCGCTCTCGTCGTGGTTCTCCTCGGACTCAATCTCCAGGCACCAAACCCATAAAGCCTCCCCCGCTCTCGAAACTATGCGTTTGTGGATGTCCCCTCCGGCACGCCCATCACCTCCGTGAAGATCACCTACACCAAAATGGCGCCATTTCCACTTTCGCAGCCATGCCAGAAGTTTGGCCATGGACAAATCATACGGCTCATAGCCCAATGCCCCTGCATTGTGATCGTCTTCGAGGATCTCCCCGAACTCGACCAGAGCTCCAGCCATCACCAGGAGGTTAGATGCCACCTGAAGCCCCGTCGCCCTGTTGCCCTGGTTCGCTATCTCCTGCACCGTTTTCCCCTGGTGAAGGAGCTCGTCCCACGCTTCACAGGACCTCCCCTGACATTGCCAGACCTCAAGTGGTTGAAGCACTCGAAGATGGCCCGGTCGCCCTCGACGATCAAAGACCTCCAGCACCTCGAACTCCCCGTCATTGTACCTCAGCGGCCAGCGCCCTGGACCTGCCAGCCCGTGCACGTTCTTTCGTTCACCTTCAGGTGACTCCCAAACATGACCCACCACCTGCGGTAGCAAAGGCGCCCGCGGGATGCCCGGCTCAATGACCATCTTGAAAGGCTTTCTCCAAACCAGGTCCTCGCTCTGGTTGGCTCTCCCCACGGCTGCCCCCAAAGGCGGAGCAGTCACTGTCTTCACCAAACACCTCTTCACGATGTCCTCCGTCAGGTCGAAGCGCGCCCCTACCAGGCATTGCCTTCGGCGTGCGAGGTACTCCCCCAGTTCTGTGGATACGAACTCAAACGTCACACCACCCAAGCCGTTGGCTCGGAAACCTTCGAGTGCCTTCTCCCAGGGGGCGCACCTTGGCCCCTCCCAGATCACCACGTAGGGTCGCCATCGAGAGACCTCCTTGATGAACTTGTCCACCAGGATCCCTTTCTCGTCGACCGGCAAGGTGGCGACGATGACGACTCGGGTCCTTCCGATCTTGGAATGTCCTTCAGGGGCCAAACTCTCAAAGTCTTTCAGCCATCTATCATCGCTAGCCAGCTCGATAACTCTGAGTTTGTCCCAGGGAATGCCCAAGGGCTTGTCGACAAAGCGCTTGAGCCTCTTCTCCTTCAACTGCAGCATCACCTGTCGGTCCTCCGGGTCCTGTCAGGACAGGAAGCAGGGTCCAAACCGAGCGGTGTCCTCAATGGCCTTGGAGATCGCCGGGCCCAGCTCGACCTTCTCCCAACCCTTCTTCACGAGCATCTCCTCAAACTCTTGCGTATTGCACCTGGTGATGTAATCGGAGTCGACGTTGTGGAAGGTCCTCCACCACCCCCCCCACCAGGGTGAATCCGTAGTTCATCTCGCAAAGGTTCAGGACTCGGACTAGTAGTCGGCCCGCCCGTGACCCACTCTGACGTTTGCAGACCCACTGCCTGACCGTGGAGTTGTCCCCGGCGTAGAGCACCACCTTCCCCTTCCAAAGAGGCCCACGCTCACACACAAAGGCCACCAGCGAAAGCATCTCCGAGATGTGAACCCTCATGTCTCCGTCCTCCTGCATCTCTTGTTCTGCTACCCCCATCAGCCATGGCTCTAGCTCCGTGACTGTTGCCCTAGCGGCTGCCCCAAAGGTCCAGTCGATGGCCCCAATCACCTGCGTAGTAGCGTCTGAGGATACCCACACAGTTTCCTTCCACTCATTCGGGAGGCTCAATCGTTCCTTCACAGGGAGGAGCTCCTTCAAGGTGGTGCCAAAACGCGTCTCCCACCTGTCGGACCTGGCGCACAACCATCTGCAAACCTCAAACAGGCTCCAAAGGTCTTCCCAGGCATCCTCCACCTCCAAGAGTTCGTTCTTGTAGCCCAGTTTTCGAGGCCGAGCTGGAAGATCCCCTTCGTCGTTGGAGAGAAAAATGTCCGCCGCCTTGAGCTCATTCGCCAGGCCCCTCACCACAATCGCCCAACCAGTCGTGATGCCCCTGAACTGCTGAACCTGGCGGACTGTCACACACTTCTCCCCCGCGTCGAAGGCACTGTCCCCCAACAAATATGACCCTCTGAGGATCCTCCGCTCTGGCAAGAAAGCTTTCTCCGAAGCCGCGTTCATAGTCAGTCCCCAGATCACCTGCTCCTCCTTGAACTGTCCCTCGATTGCGTCCTTCTCCCGGTTCACAGCCTCCTTTCCCAACATCTGTTTGACGCCTGTCTCATAGCATGCAGCTGAGATCCAAGGTCTCAAGCCCAAGAGTGGTTCAACCAACACCGCATCGTCGACCAGGATCTTGCAGTCAAAACCCAAAGCCCCGTCTCTGCGAGGTAGTCCAGGTCGATGCGCTCTATGGAATTCCTCCGTGGCTCTTCCCCACGGGGTCCATTCCCCCGGAGAGCCCGAGAACCCAAAAGAGGACACGAGGTAGAGCACGGTGAGTGGGCGTCCACGTACCTCTCCGCTGTGGCCCTCCTCATCCGGCATTGCTGCATCCTTCCAAGGGAGGTCCCCCGCGAAGAGCTCCACATCCGCGGGTGCCACCCAAAGCAAGCGGAAAGCCCCAGAGATGTCCTTCTTGGCGATGTGGACCTGGCACCCCGGGTAGCGATGCTTCAAGAACAGAACCCTTCTAGCAATCTGGTCGTGTGTGGGCTGCAGAGCCGGCGGGTGGAAGTCCTTGTGTGTGCCCTGGTTGACGGGTCGCTGGTCATGCACCACCCTCACCTCATTCGACACTGAGCGATCTGGTAGAAGTTTTGGGACAGCTTCGAAAGGGGAAGCCATAGTGTTGCCCAGTTTGGGATGATCCTGGCTTGCAACCAACACCCGATGTTTCTTGACGTCTTTCCAGATCTGGGCATAGACCTGCTCCAGGTTCCGTTTTGCATTCGGGTGCAGCCCTGCCGTCGCCCGCTCTCGGGGCCCCACATGTCGGGCCTCCATGCCATGCCTCTTCACATGTCTCAGGTAGGCCAGAAGGTCTGGGTGTAAGATCTTATCCAGGCACGGGTCCTCGACTCCTCTCAGATTTGCCAGCCCATGGGTTGCTCGTGCGTCCCATAGCCACTGAGCCGCTTCTTGAACTCCGCCAGCTGCACAAAGTAGAGCGTCTCCTGCATCCAAGACACGTTCCCATCCTTGCTTGGTGGGCTGGTCGAGGCCGTTGATCGTGTTGAGGTAGTCAACCGCCTCGGGGTGCAACAAGGTTTCACTCTCCCCTGAAGTTCCTGGTCCCTTCCCTTCACCGCCACGATCGGCTCCTGCCCGCCCATGGGATGACGTCCGCGTTCTGGATCTCGACCGCGATCTCGGTGGAGAAGCGTCCTCATACTCCGTGGAGCCGTCGATGTCCCCCTCTGACTCGCCGCCTTCATGGGGTCCCGCTCCTCCTGGATCGTTATCTGCGTCCGTCAGCCAAGGTAGCCCATAGCCCTGAAAGACCAGAGTGGTGGTACCCGTCCAAAGGCCAATGTCCAACTCCCGCGCCTGCACTATCCTCCAGTTGTCACACATGCAAATGGGGGGGCCCGACTGTTCCGGCCCCGGTCTCGACACGGGCCAAGCCCTGGTGAGCCGCTCGTTTCGGTAGGCGACTCCCGGGAAGTTGTCACCCAAAAGGCCCGGCGTGAACAAGTTTCTCCGTGGTTGTCGGTGTGTGACCGTGACCGTCCCTGAGGCTCGGTCCACCTGCCACTCATCCGGCTCGACCACAGTGACTGGAGACGTTCGGCGAGAAGGTCTGGGCTCATCTCCCCTGCCGGCAGTAGTGGTTCCCACAATGAGCCCATCTCTCTCGACCCACTCATCGGGCAGAATGATAGAAGCCGCCCCTGGGGGTCCCATAAGCATGTCAATCGGTCTGCCCCTGTCCAGGTTCCTGGTTCCCTCCGGGTTTGCCCACACTCCGCTCGGTTCATCATTCACCTCCTGGGGGCTAAGCTCGAAGGGCGAGCTTGATGGTTCCTCTACTGCCTCCTCCGCTTCCGAGCCAAACTCAAATGGGGAGCTGACAGGTTCTTCCAACGGGTCTGAAGCCCCTGCTGAGGTTCCGAATCCTCGAGTGTTGCCACCCTCATCGTCCACACTCTCCTCGTTCGTCTGGTTCTCCCTGACATAGTTGTCCGCAATCTCCCCATCCGTCTGGTTCTCCCTGACATAGGTCTCCGCCCTTGGGCCCTCATCACCATTGGGACCTTCGCCGTGGGTGTGGTCTCCTTCCGGCGCCTCCTCATCGATGGCGGAGTTGACCCCCCCCCCCGTCGACCCCTCCTGCTCGACTCTGTGGTGGCCACCCATACCCCCCCCCAGCTGAAAGAACTGTCAGAGAGGCCTGCAGGGTCTGCACAATTTGTTTGATGAAGTCCGCAGGGTAAGCTCCTGCTTCCGTGCACCGGGTAACCGTGACTCCCGGACGACAGCCCTTCAGGGGCACATGCCTGTGACTTGAGGAGATCCCCGGGCACACACGATGCAGAAGTTGAGCAAGAGGGCCGTGGGATGGAAAAACCACCCTAGTGTAGTGCCTGTAGAAAGCCGAAGGTTCATCAGGCGGTCCCAACCCAAAAGCGCACATAGGGAAGACAGCAGAAGCCACATCCGGCCTCTTCAGAATGGCCTGCCAAGAAGGTAAATCCCACATCTTGGGGTAACGACCACTGGGCCCACTGGACTCCGCCAAGGGGAAGGCGCCGTTGTCCAAGGCGTTGACGAAGACCTCCGCCGCAAAGTCCGCAAAGACGTTGCCCTCGACCTCCTTCTCCAAAATGGGCCCTCGACCGCCACCTTGAGGCTGAGCAAAAGTTCGTGTGCCTCCATTTTGAAGTTGCCAATCACAGAATGTAGTGCACGGCGAGGCTATCCAGAACACGTTTTCGGGGCCCGAAGCCGCCCGTTGCAGATGAAGCCCACGAACCAAAGGGTCAGTGATATCATGCTGAGGCTGGTAGCCAACTCGATTGTGCGGGTCAGCGAAAACCTCAACCGGAGGAGAAGCTTCACCCCCTTGGCTAACCCATTCCTTTGTCATGCCTGCTGTCCCTGCGAAGATCTCCCTGAAGAGCAGTTTGGATGCCCCATCGGCCGCTCGGACGGCTCGTTGATGAGTGGTCGAACCCGCAACTCCGGACCCATACATGTTGGCATAGGATGTGGCCACTGCAGCTAAAGTGCTATGCTGGCGGATCAGGCCTGACCCGAGTGAGGTATCTCCTGCTCGACGTGGTGGGCGGCATAGCCGGCGCGCTACTCGTCCTGGGGCACTCACGGGTTGATCGTGGCGGGCATGCCAGTAGAAATTGAAGCCAAGGACCGGGGTACTTTGACGCTCCTCCACCGCCAACCATGCCAGCCCATCGAAGTCAGCTGGTGGTTGTAACAACACCATGTGCCCTTTCCAGATCAAGGTCCACACTATCCAGCCTCCATCTTCCCAATCCGGACCCACGATGGTCTCCACGAGCAAGTTCCCTTGGAAATCCGCTCTCACCACCACCACTTTGGCCGCCCCGAGCTCCATGATAGGGAAAACCGCTAAGCTTCGGAAGTCGCGTTCGTGGGCTGGATGTAGGAGGTCATGAAGGTACACCCTCAACTCGTGCTCGATTGGGGTCACGAATTCCGCCGCCTCTCCCATCTGGGTGGCTGCATCCAGCGCCAGCCGAGCCTGATCCGACCTCAACTCCCGGGCCTTATTCTCGACCTCCTGCAACGTAGGGCGTCTCCCTTTTTCTCTCCAGAGGATACCGGCTGCCAAGGTCTTGGTGACACACTGCCGTTTTTCTATCACCGGCTCCGGCATCTGAAGGATCCCCGCCAGCTCTTCGGACATGAAGACTTCCTCTTGGTAGTCCCAACTCCTCCAGGATCTCCCATCCACCTCCACAGAGCCTTGGCCTGGTTCACCAGTGGCCCACATAGTTTCTCTCACGACCAGACGGGTATTCTCGCCCGCCCTCGTGCCGCCCTGTTTTTCAAGAATGATGGCAGCTTCCTCTGCGAGATCTGCTACCCCGTAGGCCACCATCTCCCCCATGAGCTCTTCGAACGTAACTTCTCCATCTGCAGCTACCCTCGCCGATGCCCACGCGTAGAGATCATCTGACGCCTCCTGCAACTTTCCCAGAACCGGGCCCGCCGCTAGCTTCTCGGCTTTGTCCACCATGTTCACGGCCTCCTCCGGCGCCTGGAAGTCTTGGAAGGGGAAATAACCACGATCTTGATGCCGGACTGGTAGCCCCCAGGATCGGTCGTCTCTGTTAACGAAGTCCCTGACGTCCTCCTGCTTGGTGTAGTCGATCGCCTCGAACTCCTCCGGCACCTCGTTGAAGTGGACGGTACAGGTTCCACCTGCCTTCACTTCCTCCGCCTTTTCTCCCCCGTCGTCCTCCTTGTCAGCCCCCGCCTTCCGCTTTGGTTTGCTGATCTTTGAGGCCTTGTCCTTCTGAACTCCTTGGCGAAGGGCTTGGATCTTGTCTCTCGCACTCAGCCGTCTCCTGCTTCATGCGACGAAGACCTCCCCGACGCAGTAGTTGCATCTGAACTGCTGGGTCCAAAGCTTCGAAAGATCCCTTGAGGTTCTCATGGGCCCGTTGGCACGTAGTGGAGTGGCACCCTGCATGCGTCAGATAGCCCCAACATAGTAATGCCCCCCCTTTTCCAACAGGTGCTCGATCTCGTGCCTTGTTCACTTCCTCCTGGGTGAGCTTCGGGCCAATGAGGTTCGTTGAAGGTTTTCCCCCTCCTCGACTGTCCTCTTCCGCCTCCTTTTCTCCCCCAGCGTGCAACCCTGCGGTCTGCTTCTTGTCGCCTCCCCAAGTCAAGCGCCAGAGAGCCCGCTCCTGTCTCCTTTCGATGCGAGGCTCCAGCTCCATCTTGAACCACCCTTCCGGGTTGAGTAGATCGAAAGTCCGTGGGAGCTCCAACCAAGCGCGTCCTTCTGGGCCAGGAAGTAGTGCATGGAACCTGATCTCCGCCAGGGACATGGACTCCCTTTTTGCCACCTTCTTCAACTGACGAAGGACCTCTTTCATTTCTTCCATGAAACGCCAGTGAAGTTCCTCCCACGCGTCCATCACTATCTGCAGCGGCCACTTGCGGGGAAGCTCTTGATGCCAACCTGCCAGCAGATCCAAAGCGTGCTCCCTGACCTCCAGCCATTCCATGCCATAGGTGAGTGCCCACACTTGGTTCTGTCGTTTCACACGGGCTATCCACTCGTCGAGGCGGGTCGGAGGTGCTGGCCTCTGCTCCCCTGGCCCCTTCAGATGTCTTGCCTCTGAGGCGAAAGCGTCAAGTTCAGCATCAGTCACCTGCACGAAGTCCGCGGCCGTCAAAGCATGCTTATCCGTTGTGCCCCAGTAGGGCCCTGCCAACCCCACAGCTAGCCTCGTCGAGATCTTTTGTCTGAAGCCCAAGGACCTCAACTTTGTGGAAGCCCCTACCTGGGCCGCAAGCAGCGAGTTAGCTAGCGCAGCCCCCACATCACCAGGGCAGACTTTCACGTCATACTGGTCGCACGCACGCATCAAGTAGACCAGTTCTTCGGATTGTCGACCTAATCCACGAACTGAACCTGGTGGGCGTTGGCCTGAATCCTGTTGTGCTCGTACCAACGTGGCAATCTCGGAGGTTTGGTTTTGGATAGCTTGAGTCAACTTAGCCATGGGGTCATAGGTCTCCTCCCGAGCTCCTGCCTTCCGGTCAGCGCTGCGTCCATAGATCCTCGGAGCTCCAACCAAGAGGTCCCCCACTCCTGCCTTCTCAGACATCTCCGGACTTGAGGGATTTGAGGGTTTTCCAGAAGGGTCGGACGACACCACTCCAAGTACTCGATGGCTGCGGGGTGGATGGAGGGAACACCGGTTGGGCAACCTCTTGCGCATCCTTGCGCCACTTCTGTAGGAACTTTGACAGTCCCTTTTGACCCTTCTGCTGTTCCTCCCAAGCTTGACCATACAGCTTCCTGGTGATCTCTTGGAAGTTTGAACCATGGCGGTCACATAGCACTCCCCTAGCCTTCTCCTCCGTCATGCCTTCGTGCTTGCCCTCGGTGTAGACCTCGAAGAACTCCTCCAGGATGCTGCGTTCCGGCCCCCCATCAGGTGAGTCAAGCATTCCCAGCTTTGCTAAGCTCCTGTGAATTGATGACTTTGGTGTTCTCCCCGGTGACTTGGAAGTAGTTTTTACTCGCTTTGAGTCTGGCTCATCTTCCCACACATCATCGTGGGCACCTTTCATCTCCTGAAGCAAAGACCTGGCCTTGCTCCCTCTGTTGTCTGCTCTCCCTTCTCTCACGCCGTCCGACACCACCTCGAAGCCGTCGTCAAAGCGCCTTGAAGTACTCCTCCTCCGTGATGTAGTGGACGCAGAAGGTCTCCATCTCAGCCCACGGTCACCCTCGAGCTCGTTCACCTCCTCGCCCAGGTTGTCCTCCAGCTCGTGGTCCCGTGTTGGTTCCCGTGACCTAGACCGGGACGCCCGACGCTGCTTGACCGACTCCTCGTGGTTCCAACACAACATGAGCCCTTGATGGCCAGTGTGTCCTAGCCGTCGACAATCAGCGTGACTGCACTTCTTGGCGAAGCGCTTCAGGATATATTGGGAACCATGACCTTCACACAATGGGACCGTATCCTGCTCCCCCAGCTGATCTTCTTTGAGCAAAGTAGTGCGCTCCCGAGCTTGATGCGAACATGGAGCCGGGGCTAAGCGTTCATCTCCCTTCTCAGTGCTCCAGAAGACTCGATGAGCCTGGCATGGTTCCTCATCCCGTTCAGATTCGGAGCCCAGGTCCCGAACCTTCGCAGCCAGGTTCTTAGAGCCGCCCAGCGCCCACTGCCACGCTCTCGAACCCCAAGTCATAGCCTCCTTGTTCGCCTGGTTGAAGTTGAAGCTCTCGTAGTCGATCTTCTTGGTCAAGCCGTACACCTTGAAGTGATAGCCAGGCTCGCTGCACTCCTCGCTCCTGCACAAATGCACCTTGTCCACTCCCGTCAGCTCCTGTAACAGCGAAGGGGCTCCCCGAAGTGTGTCGACCTCGATGCCGATATAGACCCCGCTGGACCTGATCGGGTGGCTCTCATTGGACACCTTGAAGACGGCTGTGTGGTCACCCTTTTTGAGCACCACCCATTTGTCGGTGCTGGCGTGATACTTGAACTTGCGGAGCTCAGCAGTCTCGGGCGGTTGTCCAGTCCCAGGACCGAAGTAGTCCGCCATCGAAGCCTCGGGCGTTCCACCCAAGAAACGTTGGACCACAAAAACCACCCCACCAAGAGCACGAAGAAGGCGTCGAGCTAGCCACACCACCGTCATCATCACCGCACACACCAATGACACCACCGGCCAACAGACCGCCCAGATGTAATGGGCGATGATGCAGCATCCCAGAAGGATGCAGCATTGACAGATGCGCCTGCATCCGTTTCGAACTCCAGCCCAGGCGCTCCCGAAGAGTGTCCAGCCAAGCAAGCTGAACGCCAAGTCAGCCAGCGTCCAGAGGCTCCAGTCGAAGCCGCTCTCCGCCGTGGGTTCCGTCAAAGAGGCCACCTTGGAGAAAGTCTCTGAGGCTCCATCTAACCAAGGCGTGGCCGCCGGAACCCATTCCTCGACCTTGCCTCGCCACCATGGCTTCATTGGTGAAGGTTCAGGTGGCGTCGAGGCATTCCACCACCCTCGTCCATGTGCAACGAGGGCAGCCACCATCAGCCATCTCACCACCATGGCGGATGCCCAGGGACCCTGGAAAAAACCAGGACCATTCAGATCCTCTTGAACCTCCAAAGGCCGGCGTGGCCACAACTGCTTCAAAAGCAACGCTTCACGAAGCTCCTACTAAACATGGCCACACGCACCACACGCGGGCCCCAACCCCCCCAGCTTGGCCAACCGCTGCAAACCCAGGGCACTCGTCCAATGCGATAACCTCAGTGACGAAGCAGACGAAGCAACGACAAGGCGCCCCCCGGGCACGAAGCTGACGAAGCACTGCGAACGGCGCGAACGGCGCGATGGTTCGCCGTGACGTGTTCAGGGCAGGTTTACGGCAATCGCAACATCCAGATGAGTGGACATGAAAAACTTGAGGAATGACAAACTCCGTATAGAACAAAAACTTTGCAATTGAGTTGTGCCTCGCTGCACACACGTTCATTCTGGGTAGTGTGTCTTGCTTGCCCTGGAATAGCAACAACCTAGACAGCCTACTTGTCACAGGTAGGAGGGACTGCCGGCAAACTCCATCATCAGGAAGAGCCAGGAACTACTTTGCAGCATACGCAGGCACGTTGAACACACATCTGGCGCGCGTCTTAAGATATCAGAAGGGTTAAGGTTGAGAACTCAATGTGCTAACGAATAGGAACACACCAGTCCCTCACTTTGTAAGGCCGATAGAAATGGGTGTGCTGAAGAGATAGCATAAATACGATTCATAGAATTTACAAATGAGATACATGTTGCAGACCTCAAGCAACTTGGACGGCTTGTCACAGGCACGAGGGACTGCAAACTGCACATACATCGAAGACCCAGCCAGTGCAAGTTTGAAAATATTGTCTGAACTTAGATCTTGCGACACATGGTTGCGAATTGGATAGGACAAGCCGCAGATAGCCACTCTTCTGCGTCACCTTTGTCACTTGTGGCTTGGGAAATGGTCTGGCCTTGTGGTCTATGGCGGAAAAGGCGAAGACACAGGATTGCCAGATCTTCTGTTGCACTCGTATGGGTTCATCTCCACAGTACTTGTGGATACGTGTGGTGAATTGAACTCATACAAGCACGTGAAGCTCACGTAGCTCTGAGAACTCCAATGACTTCCACAAGAGCACCCTCACAAGGAAGGCACAGGCTCATCCCTGATGCCACAGCCGCTGCCAAGGCCGGGAAGCCACTGGCTCCAGGATGCCAACGAGGCTTGTCGGAGGCACCCTCTCATGCATGATCCACCCGTCTCTTGGTACATTCTCCGGAGAGGAACTGGGAATTCGGAACGCGCACGTCGCGTGGTGCGTGGACTTGCGTCGATGGGCCGTGCATTCTCGGGCCCACCGAGCCGATGGAGACTTGAGTCCATAGGGCCAGGAATGTGGGGCACAGACATGGGTGACTGGGTCGTATGATTCGGGAAGCGCAGCTCCATGTATGCGAGCAACTTCCACACCGGACGCTTCTCAAGTTGAATGCTCATCAGCTTGTAGATCCCTGAAAACTTCTCGTGGCCTGAATCGAACTTCAGCTTCTCCAACATATAAGGCTCATCTGGATGGAAATTGTACAAATCTGTCAAGACCTGAATCCACACAGGTGCCATACGCTGCTAACCTTTAATCCTAGTGAATGTGGAGCACTAGAATCGTTTGAATACACCCAAAGCCTTCGATGGCTACGTGCGGTCGGCCAGTGTTGTCCCAGCACCCAAAAGCTACACCCAGAGGGCCGGGTCCCAGAGGCCCGGGTCCCAGGAGGCCCTGCCAGGCTCTGCCAGGCCAGGTGCTCCTTCACCGAGCTCTGGATCGATCGACACGGCCCATGAGCCGGCCCATGATAGCTATAGACCAAGTGGCTGTTTCCCAAGTAGGCCACCACCTGCCAGGTGCGCCGGTGAGACACGTCAGTCCAATGGCGACGAAGAGACAGGCGCGTCTGTCGACAGGCGCGTCTGTCCGTGCGCCATGGCTTAGACCCAGACGAGGACGTCAAACAGATGTGACAACTGATTTGCGAACAGGGTGAACCCTCGGTATTTGACACGAAAAGCGCTGTCACAAGCTGAAGAATGCCGGTGATGAAGCTTTAGAAGACGATCTGGACTTCAAGTGTGTAATTAGCATCTCCAAGCATCACAGCGTCTCCCAAATCATGGTCAGATCCTGGTGTAGCGGCTAGTCCAGCACCACAATCTTTCTTCAGTCACAGCCACAGCCTTCCAAAAACGACCTCATCAACCCAACTACCCCATCAATCAAACACACCACACCATCACACACCCCAACACCATGCCTCACTGCTTCCGCCCCAAACCACCCGTGTTCGTGCGCCGCCGAACCGCCGAACCGCCGAACCGCCCCTGCCCCGCACACCCGCACACCCGCGAGTCGCCGCGAGTCGCCGCCCGCCTCGCTGCTTTGGTTCACAATGGCCACTGCACCGATCTGCGGCTCGCCGGGGCCCATAGGCATGTGCAGCGGAGCGCCATAGTCCTCGCGGACGGCGGGCGCAACCGCCGGCGGAGCACGGTGGGTTGGTGGGGATGTCTCCAGGCGCGGTGGTGCCAGAGCGTGGTGCGGACAGGTCAGAGACGTGCAGGTTCGGCGGCTTTTGGGGTCCGTTGAAGCGGGCATGAAAAGAACGACCCAATGGTCCAACGTCCTTTGATGCAGCATATCTGAAGAAAAAGCAGGCCGATTTGAAGAGTGGGATTTATCTCCCAGTGTTCATTCTGTGTTTTTTTCCACTGGGAGAATCAACCGAATCTGTTCTGCCCAAGAAGAGGCTCCCTCGCACGGTGGCTCTAGGTATGGAGCCTCCATGGATCACCGACCAAGCGGCCTGATGAGAACTCACACCCATCGCCCTCACATCCACCCCCTTCTCTCAGGCCATTGAACTGCCCTGCCCCACGGACCGGACCAGTCCCTGTGGATTCAGTCTGCCCGGTCATGGTCTGCCCATGGTCAAAAACAGAGGACATGCGGTTTTCATGGTATGCTGCTATGCCGTGGTTTGTGGGGTTAAAAGAGACACCACCGCTATACTCTACCATCTCTCCTTCATGACCCCCACCCTGCACGGTGGTGGCAGCCCCACGTCCTGCAGCAGGCTCAGCATCTCGGGCCTCGGCCACCGCGGGTTCGGCTGATCGGGAGATCGGCGGATCGGGCATCGACCCGGACGGAGATGCCAAGAGAGGTTTCTCTGTGACCTGAACGGACGGACCCATCACCTGCGGGTTTCCCTATGGGGTACGTCGAACGCGCGGGTTCTTCAACCTCTGTTGGTGGGGGGGCGGTCGCGCGCTGGGACGTGTTGCGAATGTGATTTTTTTCTGTTGACCATGGGGGTTGCGATCCAAGCCCCACGCGCTGACGCGCGCAGTGATGCAGCTCATGACCGCAGCTTCTCAACCGAGCAAGTCGGCGCGAGGACAACCCGAGAGACGTCCGCGACTTCGTCTGCGGCCGAGCCACGCATCTGCAAAGGCTGCATCGTGTGCTGGAGTCCGGTGCCTCAGTTTTTCCCATCGAAAAAGGAGCCAAGCAGGCCAAAGCATCATGTTGGGGAGCATGTCGAGTCTTGAAGCTTTTTGGGGTCTCTTGACTTAATGAATTCCTAGCCTGACAGCATCTTCTGCTTGGAGAACCCCTCGCAAAGACCAGGAGTTCTGAACTAGTCCACGGAGTCCCCTCTACACCGAGGCTGCTGAACACCGGAACTGATGTTGCACTCCCAATACCCGGCGATAGCTTCAGCCCCTGGCGAGAGACACCAGGCTCGCTGGTGCTGGAGCAACAGATCAGCTGCCAAATGTCTGCCGAACTTGGCTGACAAGGCCAAAATGGGTCACAGTTGGAAGATCCCTATAGGTATAAGCACCCCATGGTGTCTAAGTGCCGAATGAACACCGACCCGGTTTCGGAGCCCTTTCAGCCCTTTCACCGTTCACCGTTCACCTCCGACCCTGCGTTCGGCACCGGGGGGCCAGGTGTCGGCGATGTGCAGGACACTCTTGGGCATTCGGCAGGTCTCCACCAAATACCTTCGGCGGGTCGACGACGGCGAGTCTCCGACGAAGGTCGATCGAGCCTTCGCGAAGGACGCGTGGGTCGAACGGGGCGAGGCGAGGTCTTCGGAGATGACGCTCGGGGGTCCACGCCGAACGGCAGAGGGCAGAGAACGGAACGCGCGGAACTCTGGAAGCAAGGGAGGGAAGACGTCTTCTTTGCAGGAGTATGTCTTATAGTATCACAGTAGTATGTTAGTACAATAGTACAATATCGATCTTAGTCTTAGATCATTGGTCTGAGTGCTTGCAGTACTCAAGGAGAGTATGAAATGTCATCGCAAACGCTGCAAAGGAAGAAGGCTACTTTCACGCAGTTCTCCACGAATCTTCTAACTGAGTCGACATGGGTCCACACAGTTCTTCCCCAGTCTTTCAACCCTTAGATTATCATTAGATTGGAAAGCGTCGGATCCGCTGCAAGCTCTGTGACTCTTACGAAAGTCGAGACGACCATTCCATGCCCACTCAACCACCATCGCCCACCTCCACGGGAAACCCATCATCTTGAGGAGAAAGAATACACTGCCCAACTTGACCAAAACACTGCCATACTTCGCAGGAGTCGTCTCGTGTCGTGACCACAGGCGACATGAGAGGAAAAACAGATCCAAGCAGCCCACGCACCATCCACCACACCTAGCCACCCTGAGCGTCCTGGCCCGCCAATAGTGGTCCTCAAATAGATAGTGGCACGCACTGTAAGATACATTCTGAAGGTGGGGATCTACTTTTCGATCTAAGTTGAGGACCACTAAAGCCACCCACCGTGGCCACTAAAGCCACCCACCAGTTGAGGACCACTAAAGCCACCCACCACCCCTTTCCGGCCTCAAAAGGTTCACATCCTGATCTCCCCGCGCCACCGCCAGGTGCGCCACCGTACGCCCATCCCCGTCGGGCTGGGAGAGGAGATCCTCCGGGAAGGCGCAGTCGTTCACCTCGGCTGAAGCGAAACGTGCCAATTCTAAAGGAGAGTCTCTATGAAGTCCTCCAACCTACGTAATAGCAATGGGCTCCAACCTATTAGCAATGGCCTCCAGCCTAAGAGCGATGGCCTCCAACCTAATAGCAATGGCCTTCAACCTATTAGCAATGGGCTCCAACCTAGAAGCAATGGCCTCCAACCTAAGTGGGGAGACCATTCAAAGGGAGGGGGCCTGGAAGCCTGGAGTGTCCGGTTTGTGGGTTTTGACATGGATTGGAGGTTTGGAGGGTTTGTTTGGAGCGTCTGGGCCTTTCACATGTGGTATAGAAGAGCCATGAAAGAGCCAATGATGCACCTTCTTCTTCTGAGTTCCCAAAATTTGGTGTAGGAATGAAACCAAGAAGCTCCCAGGAGTGTCATCTGCCTTTATACAACAAGTGAGAAAGAACATACCATCTTATCACCTTGCTTTGGCTTACTGGGCCAACAGTCACCCCAACAGTCCACAGAGCCGGTCGGTGACCTACACTCCGAGTCAAACTCACATGGAACTGAAGGGTCCTTCATGGTCATCCTTCGTCTTGGTTGTCCCATCTTTGAAACATGCCACTATGGCCACTGTCCGGAGGGTGTTTTTTGGCTTTTTGGGGGGGGAGTGTTATATACTTCATGTTTAACCTTCGACCTCCTCATCCAAAGCATCACCACCGACCTTGAAAGCATCACTCACCACCCAGACCGCTTGGGGCCCAGACCAGCACGCCCAGAAAGCGCCCATATCCACGGGCGGCCGCCACATGCTGTGGCCAACTCCCCGAGTTGTCGCCCACGGACCTGGTGCGGTGGGGTGCCGCGCTCCTTCTCCACTCTGCAGGTAGTGGGTGTCACGGTGTCACGGTGTCATATGCCAGGTACTTGAGTTCTGGGATTGGAATAGGATCTCCCAAAGCTTGAAATGAAGGAAAATAGACCACAACCAATGATTGGAGCTGGTCCCTATTAAAGTAATTACAAACCTGGAGTCCTTTCAAAATCCTCATTTCTATCTACTAGAGTGGCCAAATTGGGTAGGTGGGTGTGTGCTCAGTCACCCGACGGCCTCACAGCCCAAAAAAGCCAAAAGCCGCTGCCCAAACCCTCCAAAGCCCGCAGAGGCGGCTCTGAATCCCACGATCCAATCCCTCCATCCTCCATTCTCCCTCCACTACTTGAGGCCATCTCCAAGGAGTCCATGATGGGACTCTCCATCCTCCCCTTCATCCTCCATCAATCTTCTCCATCCATCCTCTCGCAAGCCAAAGGTTTTCACCAGGCGGTTTGACTTGACCATGACGCAACGAGGCGTTGCGTCATACTTGTAACTTGCAACAGCACCCCATCCTCCATCCATTCCATCCATCCTCTTTTTGCAACTGAGGCCACCACTACTTGAGGCCAGCTCCAAGCAGTCCATGACGGCACTCTCCCCCCCTCCCTCCATCCATTCTCTCCATCCATCCTCAACCACGCGGCAGCTCCGCCGTGGTGAGGTTCCCCAGATCCGCGAAGGCGCGCAGCGTGGCGGCGTCGCCGCGCAGCGCCGCGTAGTGCACGGGCGTGCGGCCTCCGGGAGGGGCGTCCGAAGCGACGAAGCGAAGAAAAGTCTGTTGGTCCTCTGACCTGTGAGATCAGATCTGGTGTGTCTTTGGAAGATTTAGATCTGGGGATCAATGGAAAGTGGTAGATGTTGCAAGATGAGATTCGCACTTTTGGGCAGCAAAAGGCGGCTGTCAAGGACTGTTGGATTTCAAAGAGGTGTCTTTCCAAGTCATTCCAACCACTACTGGTCTCGAACGCACTCCGCAAAAACACCCCGCTCACCATCCACGAACGCAGGGCTCTGCGGAAAACGGCTGCGGCAGCCGCTGCGCCCCGCGAACGGAACGGTGCCTAGATGATCTTGATGCGTGAGCGCTGCACGTGGCAGCTTCTTGTCGCCCACCTGGCAGCGACATTCTGTTCCGAACAAAACCATCCATTCAGAGCTTTAAACCAGAAAAACATCTGGGCGAACCGTCCGATGTCTTAGACCTGTCTCCCCCAAAACAATATCAGGCGGCGAATATCAGGCTTCGGCCTCGGAACTCGGAGCTCTGATTCGAATCGATCAAACGAAGTATATTCTTCACACGTCAATGCTCAGACCTCTCGTCTGGACCATTGGTTGGGGCCGACCAATTGGGACTGGGGCTCCGAGCCATCATTGCCAGGCACTCCTCAGTGCGCCCATGGATGCCCCCAAAAAAAAAACGGACCAAATCCAGGCATTGGGAGCCTCAAACGGGTACAAGTGACTTGGACTTGGATGTTTTCATATGCCTTTAATGACCCCATCTCTTGATCAAAGCACAAACAACATCCAGTTTCTGACTGAAATCAAACTTTGCCTTGGGAACACTCCGGTTCGGGACCTGACCACCACTCAAAACCATTCGCTTCCACTGCTTCCACGCCTGCTTCCACACCATCATTTCTGCCCCAAACACCCATGCAGGCCCAGAACTCCTCCCCTCCATCCTACCCCCTCCATCCCACTCTCCCCCAACGCCCAACGGTGGAGTGCTCCAAGGCTCCATGTGCCCCTTCTCCACCGCCAGGTGTGCCACGTTCCGCCCCTCCGCATCCTCCGCGCGCAGCGCCCGCGGCTCGACGGCCCAGTCCACGCCGGTGGCCAACCTCGAGAGAGAGAGAGAGGAAAAAAAGAAAGAGAGGGCGAAAACCTAATTGTATATAATGGATTATAATGGCCTCCAACCAACCTAAGCGATGGCCTCCCAACCTAAGAAGCGATGGCCTCCAAAAAGGGAGGGAGGGAGGGAGAGGTCTGGTGGGCTTCTTGGTGGGGGCTTCTCGGCTGGGTCCGGTAGACCGTCGACGTTAGATGGGAGAGGAGGAGGATTTGAATGGATTTGACAGAAATGATGGCCAAAACACCGGGCAAAAACCAAGCAGTTTGGATGGTCTAGTGTTCATCTGTTTAGTTTTTTTGGTTCTGGTTGCCTGATTTGGGGAGGCTCATTCGGTTTCTGAGTGCTTTTTCTTACGCCAATCGAAGTCCAGAAAACTATCTCAAGGGTGGAAGGGAAACCATGTCTACAAGGGCCACCGGCTCCACCTGCCCGCCATGCCGAACCTGTCACCTGAGCCAAGGAACATGTAGAGCGCATTGGGACAGGTCTGTGACGCCGCAAAGTGAACGATCTTGGCCAGCGGTGAACACTGTGAGAGTTCAGTTTTGGACGTCAAAGGCGAAACTGAAGCCAGGACATCAGACTTCAATCTGACGGGAGGCCATGGCTATACAGGTTGGGGGCCATCGCTACTAGGTTGGAGGCCATCGCTATGGTTTTTGGCAGGTCATGGTCATGGCCTCCGAATAGATTGTTCGCCAGCGTGCGTGTCTTTTTGGTCGAGCATCAAGATTAGTTGCATCTGATCACTATACAAAACAATTCCGCATATCTCAAATCTAAACATCCAGCATCGGTTGCAAGCATCATACATCCTTATGACAACAACAACCCAACACTCACTATAAGCAGTGTAGAATGTCCTTTCACCGATGAAATTTGCAAGCCTTACCATGGGATAGATCATGAGAACATTCATGGAAAGCATTCTGCAAACCTGTGTTGTTTGCTAAAGGAATAAAAATAGATCAGATAAATGTATATATTGCACTCACACACTCCTGTTTTCGGCCAGCTATCTGAAGGTTTCAAATGTTGGTGTCTCACACCAACATACCTTTGTTGGAAATCAAAGCCTCCATGGCCTAACATTCCTTAAGGTCACCTGCGGACCTGACCTC